ATCAACAAGGCTTTCAAAATTAGGATGATCTGTACTTCAGGATAACTAAACATTGATGAAGGGAAATTTTTCTTTATATATGCATTTGAAACAATAAAGGAAGAAAAATGATAAAGTAATAGTTTTAGCATTTTACACCGTCCCATGAATTGATAGATCTAGGCACTGATTATCAGGGTTGATGGCGTCACAGAAGGAGAGGGGAGTTAACAATGTGTGCCTCCTGACAGGAGCACACCGCACCGACAATGCCAGCTCTTTATTGCTGCATTGTAAACCACCCCAGAGCTTAAAACAATGACAGAATTGATTCTGTTGATGAATCTATAACTTGGGCAGCTGTGAGCAGGACAGTTTGTCTCTGTTCTGCAGCTTGCAGGTTAGGGGCTGGAATTATTTGAAGGCTTATTCACTTATACACCTGGCTGTCGAAGCTGCCTCTCAGCAGAGACCTTCCCTGGAGCTGTGGCTACAATACCTCTGCATGGCCCTCCCATGTAGTTGCTTGACTTCCTAGCAGTGTGGCGTCTGGATTGCAAGGATGTGTCCAGATGGAGAGCCAGACAGAAGCTATGTTGCAGCATCACTTATGCTGTGTTCTCTGTGAGGAGCTACCATTAAGGCCAGCACATATTCAAATGGAGGGGAGTTTGACTCATCTTTGTATGGGAGATATGCCAAAGAATTTGTGAACATGTACTAAAACCATCCTCCCACCTATGAAGCATTTCGTTGAAAGTTGAACCTGAATCTGATGAAACCTCTAGGCCTAACTACAATTTATAGGAAATGCAGGGGTGGGGTGGGGAATGTGTTAAATAACAAAATAGAGGAACAATAAGTAAAATTCAGAATGTGGCAAGTTTCTATAGGCTAAGGAACCTGGTTTCTTATAAAGAATGACAGGTTTATCAAGTAAAATGGTCAACAAATTGCAGTGTGTAGACATTTCTTGGATCTTGATTTGAACAGACTGAAAAATTTTTACAGATATTTGAGTATTGACTGGATACTTGATTTAACTACTGTATAATTTTTTTATTAGTAGGGTTATAACGTTACTATGGCTGTGTTTTTAAAGAGACTTATCTTTGGGAAATACACATTGTAATCTTTATAGGTGTGATGATGTCTTAGATTTGCTACAAAATGCAGAATTGGGGAATGATATAAAATGAAAATTGATTAGTGCCGAAGCTGGACGATGGGTATATTGGGGTTCCGTCTACTATTAAGTTAAAACTAAAATATCACTTTTTTCTATTACATAAAAGACTACACTGTATGAGTCTAAATTTCATCATAGAGCACTTTAATGTTACTTTCTCTTTGTTTTTGATCTGCACCAGAGTTTCATCCTCACCTATTTGCTATCTTCTTTTTTATTTTCTTGCCGAATGCAGGAATACTTGTCTTGGACTTTTACTTTCTGAGAACAACAAAATTTGTCTTTAGTCCCCATTTAGTATGATTTTTTTCCTTTTACTTTCTTATCAGATGTTTTCTCTTAAGTGAATCATAAACTAATACAGATTTAATTCTAAATTCTTTTCTCTATTTCATCTTTACTGAAGTTACTACCATTTCTCTTTGTTGCATGAAAATGACAAGTCACACTGTTTTTCAAAATCTACGTAATTGTTGAATCCAGCTTGGGTCTTTATTCTGTGATTTTTATCACTGTTTCAACATATTTGCCTTCCCAGTGGTATGTGGGTTAGATTGATGCTCAAATTACTTTGCCTGTCCTGAATTAACACCAGATGCAATGGGGTTTAAACAAAAAAAGGCTTAAAAGTGTAATGGGTAGCAGGGAAGCTCTTTTGAAACTTAAAACATACCATGAAAAGCATTATTACTATTCCTAGAACAGCTACTCACTGTACTCTTCTTTCTCCTATTTCTGATTCCTAAATATAATATGTTTTCTGGTTCGAAGCCTTTTAATATGACAATCAAGTATTTGTTATAGGAAATGTGTTATTATTCAAATATAGTCATCATCCTCATGACCTGCGTTCTTCTGTGTAACTAATTCTGAACTCAGAGAATTTTACCTAAATGCATATTTTCAACTCATTTTGAAGTACTTAGCAAAGCAGTTGGAAAGTATTGCTACCCTGCTAACCACCCAGCAGGTGTTAACCTCTCTTTGAGTCTAAAACTTGTCTCAATGTAAGTTCTTTGTCCAACTTCTGAAACAGCATAAATTTTTATTTCCTTTTCAGAACCTCTCTCTATCTTTCTACTTACTTATTTGATGCTGCCCTAAAAAGAGTGTATCATGAAACTTGAGAAATTGACACTTTATCATTGTAGATAGTGTGTCATTGTGAAGAAATGCTACCTTTGCCTAGTACACATTTTCAGTTAACTGGGTGTTTGCTAGAAGTGGGTAATTTAAATTATCTACCTGAAATTTAATTCTTGTAGATCTCTAGTTTTTAATCTTGCAAGTGGATAGTATGCATTTAAATGGAACTATGAATTGGTATGTAATGTAATTTACATTTTTAGTAGTTAGGTATTAAGCTCTTACTATATAGCTCATGGGTATTTGTTACAAAGTGAATGCTTCAGTTTTTAGTACTTTTTCCTATAATCCATTCAGACTGCAGCAGCTACATAGAATTTGGCTATGGCAGTGTACACAGATAATTTGCAAAGAGTAGTTAAGGAAAAGACATAAAATCATTAAGCCAAGCCATCTGAATCACGGGGCATGAAGCCTGTTTACAGACAGAGCTCAATTTAAGTCATCTTCTGAGGAAGAAGGGGAAACAACTTTATGTCTCGGAAGGATTAGTCTAGTTTTAACTTAGTGACTACATTTTTCCAAGAAATTTCTCAACAATTTATTTTATTAATTACTTACCTCTCATCCTGATTATTTTGGGATATTTGACTTTCTAAGGGCTTTAGCAACTTTCTTTTGTCCCATATAAATCAATTAAAAATGTTTGTGTCTCTTTCCTACTTGGGTGCGTTTGACATCTTTCTGTAACTTTTTTGGCTTCTATGATATATTAGTAGATTTCTTCACTGAACCTACTTCCAGGTTAGTTTTTCTCTTCTTTAGGAGCTCTGGTCACTTGTCCCTAGTTGAACTCCTGTGCCTGAGTAGGGACTGTCTGGAAGGTAATCACGTTAAGGTTTATGCAGAGATGTGAAGTAATCTTGCTCAGATCTATGGGTTTATTACTGGCCCCCCAAAGAGGGGCCTCCTTGCTGCCAGAAACCAGGTCAAATCTCTGTTTCTTGGGACACTTGCACATCAAAGGGAATTTCAAGCAAAAGTCAAATGAAAAGGTGAAGATAAAATAGATTTTAATTTACTATAAAAATTAGTACCAGAAAAGAGGTGCTTCACAAATGACTGACACAGTTCACCCAGGAACCCAGCTAAGCCTAAAGTAAAAGTTGTAACTCCAAAAGATCAGAATGAAGCATAAAACAGCTGAGGTCTCCAGAAACAGGAGGCAGTAAACCATTATAATCTGAGGTAAAACAACCATTAATGCTCTTTAAAGTCTGTTTGCTGGTGCACTGTACTTCCATGCCTTAGGTAGTCTTCCTCTTCAGCCTCTCACATAATTCTCTGAGCCACCTAATTCACACCTGCATCACCTAAAGCACCAGCACTCAAAGACTAAGAAAGACTTCTACTTCTGAACATCTCCTACTTGCCAGGCACTGTTCTTGGTGCCCTCACATTATCTCCTCTTGACCACAAGGTTGGTATCACTGTTGCTGCTTAATAGAGGAGACAGTCATGTACTCAAAGTTACACTGCCAGCAACTGTGCAACATGGATTTGAACACAGGGTTTTTTTTCAGGTGTATAATTTTTCCATTTCACTTTGTTATAATGTCCTTTTCCCTCTTTCCTGTAATCTCCCCTCCTCAGGCTTTATTCCCACTTACAGTTAACTTGTGTTAACTTGTGTTCCCAGCTGTAATCCCTTGCTGTGCTGAGGAATTTAGTCTCCCACCTGGACCCTGAATAATAATATTATTCAATAATATTTTCTTTGTTATTACCCTGTTCAAAAAATGAAGAGTGATTCCGTTGCATTTCCTCAATTATAAATTTGGCATTCAAAACTCTTCCCAGACCTGCTCCACTCTTTCTTCTGTCCTATTTTCCTATTCCCAGCTGGCAGTATTCATGGAAATAATTTTCTTTCTGATGACTAAGTACCATACTGTGTCATATACCTGGAATACTCAGTGCCTCCTGCGCCTTCATATCTTTTCTTCTGTTTCAGGGACCTTTTTCCGTTGACGTTGCATGCTCTTCCTCTTCTAAAAATCCTTGTTCAGACCTTTTGCGATTGAACCCATTTCACCGTTTACTTCTAAATGACATCCCCCTTTCCCCTATGCATTCATTGTGTATTGAATTACTATGTATTTGCTCTTTGGCTTATTGTGACTGTATATTCTTTTATTAGTATAAACAGCTAGTTAAGTTCATAGTCTACCCTTTTCTATTTCACGTCATTCAAAGCACCTGGTAGGATTTTTGAGCCAGAGAGCATTTAAATAATACTGACTAACTTGTTCCATTCGAGGTCTACATTTTCTTTAGATAACGCTAACAAGGTGGTCATGTATAATAATTTAAATCTTGATATTTGCATTAAAAAGATAATTTCTTTCAAAGAGTTGTTAAGAAGAAGAGCACATTCTAGTCCTAAAAATCAAATAGGCTAAAACAAAGCAATCCCCCACCCTAAGTACATAGGCTGTAATTCATTTTGCTTAAAAATTGTATTCATCATGCAATGACTTCAAGCACACAGAAAACATTGTAAGTATTTTGATAGTAAAGAGCATTGCATCCCTCTGTGCTGCAGTGATTTCCCTTCTCATCCTTTTTTCCTTAGCATATAAGTTCCGCCAGTGGCAAATACAGACTTGCACCTCACAGAGATGAGTTTGTGGGTAATTCTTAGCATTGTGCTAGTCAGTTTCAATTCTGTGTTTTCTTTTTTCAGGTTTCCTGAAATGCAGTTTTTCCAACAAGAAAATGTGAGAAAAATTCTTACAGATGTTCTTTTCTGCTATGCTAGAGAAAATGAGCAGTTGCTTTATAAACAGGTAATGAAAATATCGTACAGGTGGCATCCATTGACTCAAAATTTTCTATACAGCTTGACAAATGATAGAGCAATAATGTAGCCTTTATTGTATCCAAAGTTGTATCATAATAGTAAAGCAATCAAAGAGCTGCTTGTCAGCTGCATGGTGAGAAAAGTAAGCTCATTGAGGCACATATGCTTCTTCCTTATTATAAGACATTTCACCAAATTGTCTTCTATAAGGCATTCAATCTTTTCTTTCAACTTTTGGGAGTTTGTTTATAAACAACATCTTTGAAACCAATCTAGTAATAAAACTTTTCAGAGTTGTATGTATAAATATTGTTTCTAAGTACAGGATTTATAAATGTGTGACATGCTATATAAAAAATAAAGTACCCTTTTACTCCTTAAAACTTGCCAGTAATATAACTTCAGAAAGTTCTTTTAAATGGCTGGGGTGGAGGGAGAGTGGTAGGGTGAAAAGGAGACAACTGTACTTGAACAACAATTTAAAAAAAAATTTTTTTTGAAATTTAAATGATATTCTTTGTGACCCTGATATTTTATTCATCCCTTTACTAAAGCAAAAGATTGCTGGGTTATTTTTATTGAAATGTAAATTATTTACTTACTGTGTAAAGAAGTATCTAGGTTTCTACTTGAACTTATGGTATTCTAATAAAAATATGTCAAGTTGAGTATTCATATATATTTCACAAAATGTGTATTCATCGGGAATCCAGACTAAATCAGTAAATTCTCTAACAATCAAAAGTTATGATCTATGTCCAATTGATGACCACCTAATTTCAGTGTAATATACCAGAAAACACTTGTATGGTGAGAGCAATGCATTTAATTTGAAATAAATTTGATCAATTTAAAGATAATAAACCAAGTCATATACAATTGTCCTAAATAATACGTTTGTTATTATATACAAAGAATACCCAAGGAACTAATTTTATCTTAGTTTTAATATTAGTACTGTATCTTTATATTGATTACATGATAATTGCATGTAATTACATGAATTATAATTAATTATATAAATCACTGTGTAGAATAGGAAATGGAAAAAATATATCGCATTCATAATGCCAACCAAAACTATAAAACACCTAGAAATAAATTTAACAATATAGGCACCAAAGCTATATGAAGAAAACTATAAATTGTATTGAAGTCTATAAAAACAGACTTGAATAAACAGGAAAGTGATAATGTTTATAGATGAGAAGACATTAAATGAAAATATTCCTTCTTATCAGCTTAGTGTATAAATGTATTATCATTCCAGTGATAGTCTTAAGTGAGAAATGTGACTTTTAAAAGCTGGGCGATAATAGAAGAGGGCAATAATAGTATATGGCTTTGTAGAGTTAAAAACATCTAGTTCTCACTACGTGTTCATGTGGGTAGCTGTGGTGGCTGCCATTATTATAACCATTATTAAATATGTGGACTTGCCACAGAATTTAGGGAAGATAAGAAAGGCGAAGGGAGATAGGAAAATTTTTATACAGGTTCTCTGATCAACCAATGTGATGGTAGTGTGGGGGTCAACAAGGAGGTCAGTGGAGTAAACTAAAAACAGGTTCAGTTACATTTGAAATCTTAATATTATAAGATAGGACATTTTTGTTAACTAGCTTTACTGGGCTTTCTATCTAGAAAAAGGGTCAAATTATACTTCTATTGGAAAGTAAATTCAAGATGGAGTGAAGATAAAAATGTAAAAGCAAGAATTACACAAATATACTAGAAAAATTAGGATAATTTTAAAAAATAATCTCAAGGTAGGAAAAGCCTTCCCAAGCAAGATATCCAGAGGTCATGTGCATAGTCCCAACACCAAAAACAAACACACAAATAAACAAGCCCAAAAGAAGAGACTGGGAGGAATGGAATCTCTATCAGGATAGGATTTGGGGGGAGCAAGTAACAGAAAATCCCCCTCAGAATGACTTGAACCCTATGGATGTCATGACCTACTCTGCAAGAAGAATGGTTCCACAGCATTAACTATCCAGGTTTATTTTTATTTTTCCATTCTCCTCTTCTCATCGTGTTCACTTTTGTCATCAAGCCTATCTCCTCATTGTCTCTTCTCCTCTTTCAAATACTTGAAAATACTTCACAGGAAAAGATTTGATAGCAAATCAAGTCGGAATAAAATTATCCCATTACACATTTGTTTCCCCTTTTTGTTTAGAGAAAGAAAAAAAACTAGATTAAGGAAGTCTTCAAATAATGGAAAGAAGTTCGCTGGCAAGGAACGAAAACGTAGTAACTGCACACGCCATCATCTGTGATGTATGTGGCCCACTGCATTGTCAAGGAGGACTAGGGAGGAATACGGAAGATCAGGTTCTTGATAATTTAGACCAGGACTGTCAACACTGAGTAAGGAAGTACTAACTTACTCCTAGGTGTCAGTTAGTAAGACTTAATCACTCCCTGTATATATTTAAAACCCTATCGATTCTTTACACAAAAATAATACTTTTCTGTAGAAGGACTGAATATTTAGCCAGATCAAATTTAAGAAAAAACCTTGAGTTTCATCACAAGCTGTTAAAGCTATTATTTTGTACTAGGTGACACCCCGTTTAACATCGACCATATTGTTAATAGTTATGGGATTTTATTGAATTAATGAGACTGTTATCATGTAGTAGAATGTCTTGCTGAGTTAATTGAAACTGCAGAGATTATATAAATGGTATTAATGAACTTTGACTGCCTGATGCCTCAGCCTTAATAAAGACTGCTTGGTGAGCTAAATGAACACAGGCAGATAAAAGAACAGGTTCAATTTTGTGAGCCTACAGGCTGTTGATGAGGAAAACTTTGTTACCTTTAGTTTCAAATGGCACGAGCCTGGAGTGCAGTGACTACTAACGATCCAGCAGAGATAAAGGCTGTAAGCGAGCAGAAGTGCTGACGATGTAGATGGAAACAAAACACACATTTTGAGAACCAAGAAGGATATTGATAATACGTTATCTTTTATTATGCTTTGTCAAATTTATAGCACATTAATGAATTTTTGATCATTCTGTCTAGATCTCTTTTCCTTTAAAGATGCCTGTATACTTGCCACTTGTCATTATTTTCCAAGTTTTTACTAGTCTAGAATTGAGGGTAAAACCAACAGTGTCTTCCAAGTGTATTTAAGGAAATACTCCTAGTTTAGATGGAAAGCAACATTGAATTTGTAAAAGGTTGTCTTAAATAGCATTTAGGGAACTCTTAATTTCTGTTATATAGAGAGCACCCTAGTTATTGATGTGAAGTATTGAAATATGATGTAGTGTTATTCTTTTCCATTTTTTTTTATGTTGTAGTTCACCTTTTATCATTGTGTTGCTCTGTTGAGTGGTGAATATTTCATTTTCTCAGTCACTGTGCAGTGAACACCTTTTATGTGCAGAGGCTATAATAGGAGCTGGGTTTTGTGTGTGTGTTTGTGTACACACACATATTACTTACCACAGTTTATGATTGTGTAGTCACTGCTCTGTTCATTTTATTACTGTGTGTCTTGCTGTCTAGACTGCGTGCTTCATAATGGTTAGGAGCATGCCCACTTCATTTACTTCTCTGTTCTCACTGCATCATGCCTAGTTAGTAAATAATTTTTTAAATAAGTGAAGATGAATGATACTCAAACAAAATAGAGAATGTGGAAAAGGTAGTGTCACAGAAACTAGAAGGAAGAGAACATTTAAAGAGGTAGGAAGATGCGTTTAAGCAAGAAATCTTTGTTATCAAATTAGCCATAAGTAATTAGAAAATACACTGAAAGAAAAACACTCATTTAGAATCACCACCACCACCACCAACAATAAAAACCTAGTAACAAACCCAATAAAAACTATGTAGTTCTATAAATTTTTGGATTGGAAAATCTGGTGTTCTAAAAATAATCTGTTTTCTTCAAGTTAATTTTAATGCAATGCCAATAAAAATTGCAGTATTTGGTTTAGCATTTAAATACTGAGGCTCCCTTGGATGAAAAAAATTAAGTTAGAATACGCAAGATCGTTTTGAGAAAAAGGATAGAAAATAGTAATAAAATATTTTGTAGCTTGTCATGACAATAGTAAAAATCTTTTTAAAAATTTGCTTATTTATTTGATTTTTCTAAGCACACATTTTAGTTGGCTCCCAGGACCCTAATAAATAACCTAAAAAGTGAAATGGAGAAGACTCACCATCTCCACTGAGATAGCCTTTAGTGTGTGTGTGTGTGTGTGTGTGTGTACATTAAAGTTCTTACTAAGAATATTCAAACCAATGGGATATCAGTAAAAGCCAGAAAAAATGAGAGCTAAATATTCAATTTATGGTAAAGATGACATTTTAGAATTCTTAGCAGAAGACGGGTTATTCATTTAATGGTTATCATTCAATAAATTAGTTTAACTCTTTTGGAGGGAAAATATATATTTTTAAGGCAAAATTAAGGACTAGATAGATAAATAATTGATTGTAAAAAGAAAATTATATACTTACCTAAAAGCCATCTGTGAAATTTGATGAGATTTTATTACATTTTTTTTGTTAAATTTATTGGGGTGACATTGGTAATAAGATTATATAGGTTTCAAGTGTACAGTTCTATGATACTTCATCTGTATATTGCATTGTGCCCACCACCAAAGTCAAATCTTTTTTATCACCATATATTTGATACCCTTTATACCATTTACTGCTCCCAACCCCTGTTCCCTCTGGAAATAATATAGAAAAAGTCAAGAAGCGTATGATTTCACTCATATGTGGCATATAAAACTGAAAGCAACAAATGGACAAACAAGAAAAACAAAAACTCATGTACACTGACAGGATTTTTTTTAGAACACTACAGAGATAAGTGAGGATTCGTGAGATGGTGATTTTATGCTTGAAAGTGAGGGAATTCTTTTTGAAGGGTAGCCTAATGGAATATGCCAGAGACTTTACCAAATGTCTTTAATCATTTACACAGAAATTCTGCTTCTAGCTACTCTGTCTTATGGAAACCATCGCACATAGTCAAAACAAACAAACAAAAAACCCGTAAGGATATCTAGCACAGTTTTTCATTTCTTTTGTTTTTCGGTCCTTCTTTCCTTTCTTCTCTCTCTCTCTCCCTCCCTCCCTCCCTCCATGACCCACGCTTCCCCTTCTTCAACCCTCCTCTTTCCTTCTTTTCTTTTTTGTTTTTTCTTATGTAGTTTTCTACAATGTGTAGCTATACTTTGATGATTGAAATTATGGCATTTAGTTTTTGGAATAACTTGAGATTTTTTCAGAATATACTCCTTGTGATGACGATAAAGCATACATGGAAACACAGCTCCATTCTTTCTGGCTCTCTACCATGCTCTTCTAAGGCTACTCTTTCCAAGGTTTGTTTAGTAAGGACATCGATCCCTAAAAAGATTGACGTATGGTAATTTGTCCTAAATCACAAGTAAATTGTCAGTGGAGCATAAATTATTTTGTAAAAATGTCATCAGGTCCTTCTAATTCAAGACTAGGGATAACTTACAGTGAACTCTGAAAGAGTTGACTTTTATATTATTTTGTGATAACAACTAGTTTCTTAAGAATGGCACAGTTCTACCAGACTGTGCAGAAGGCTGTGTGACTGTCCTTCCAAACAGGAAGCCTCCTCTCTGTTCACCAGCAAAACCATTTTCTTCTGTCTTCTTGTATATTTTATTTTTATTTCCTTTAAAGGTGGTGTTTGGTCTAATGTTTTTATGCTAGGTCATCCATAGTTATTAAGCAAAAGGAAAATGGTAATTTGCTCACTTTTAGAGGCAAAAAGGTGCAATTTATTTTTAACTTGCTAGAATATGTTCTTTTTTATGCATAAGAGGAAAAATATCTCAATTAGCAAGGCAGGTCACTAATGTGAAATATCTTATTTCCCCAGAATAATGAGTAAATAAAGGATTTTTGTAATACCCTTTTAAAGACAACTTAGTAGTTAATATGTCTGTTTGTGTCTGCCTATTCATACAATGCACATGTAAACACAATATAAGGAAAAAGATTCATAGTGGTGAAATCACTAACTAAACTGTAAAGTAACTTTATAGTTGAAATTAGACAGGAAAAATTTATGGTAGTCTTCAGATTGTACAAGTTGAAAATCATAATTTAAAAACTTCGTTTTCCATTATACCTGCTAAAGGTTGTTTCTTTTATTATCCAACATTTCCAGCCAGCTGACTTCAGCTCTTCCCAAATCTACAGACATCCTAATTTTAAGCCATTATATAATGAAAACATTGGCTGCAATTTCCTTAGGTCTACGTTTCTTAGTTGCCCTTCTTACTGCAGATCTTTACACTGTAGCTCATGATTATAATTTGCATAAATGAAATTCATATTTATGAGTACAGATCTTGAAGCAACTGACAGGTGCGAGGTTGTCTGCCATGCCAATTTATTGTTTGTTGTGTGTCGTTTAAAAGAGAACTGCTCTCTACGTTTTAAAGCAGAATACATAGTGTGGTTGAATTGGAACCAAAATCTGAAAGTAAATAAAGTCTCATTTTCTAGCTTTTCATGTTTATGCTTTTTTATATAATCATGGAAATGTTGATGGCAGGGAACTGGTTGAAGAAGCATTTAAGGGGGCTTTTTGTGTCTGGTAGTGGACTCTAAACACCCACCCCTTTCGTTTTTCTTGCTCTCGTGTTTCAGGGCATGCATGAGCTGTTAGCGCCCATAGTCTTTATCCTCCACTGTGACCACCAAGCTTTTCTCCATGCCAGTGAGTCTGCACAACCAAGGCAAGTTTTTATATAAGCTCCATCTGTTTTTAAGCCCTGCTGTAATCTTTTTTGCCTCAAAATCTTTTAAATTGAAGGCACTTTTGTAAATTGTAAACATTTGGTTGTGTTTCATGTGGTTGATTGTTAATTCCACTTCATAGTTGTAATCCCAGTGCAACTGTGGGCAAATTTGGAAACATAAATATCTTTGCAAATCTTAAAGAGAGGCATAATTAATGAATTAAGAAGAGGAAATTTTTGTTGTAACAGCAAAGTGTTTAAGACTGATAGTGTTCATACGTACCATCCTCTGATGACCCATTCTTCTACCACAAACTGCATGGGAACCTGATCTGTGAGGTATTTCTCCAGGTGTGACTCAGTTCTGGTCATAAGAGAACCACAAAGAACTCAAGTCTGTAACTAAACAAAAATGACTTATGTGTTTGAGATACATTGATTTGTTGATTTCAGCAAATAACTTTAGTAATTGTATTTAACTTCAACTAATTGTTAGAATTTATTTTCTAACTTAAGATACTATAACTGATGAGCCATAGAGGCAGCCGGGAAGCATCTTGGGAAAGAGGGCTTTAGGATTATAGAATTTTGTCAGGAATACCCCACAGGCTAGTCCATCTATATGCAGAAAAGAGAAAATTATCATATACTATCTTTATTAGTCAAATGTAGCTATCATTTGCTGGTCATATACTCAGGCTTTTGCTAACTTTTCTTTACCGTTTTATACATTAGTATTTTCTAGTTTCTTTTGAGTTCTTTAATCAAACTGAGTTTACTGGATCTGACCATAGTAGCCATATCTTAAGTGCCTTTGTTTAGTTATTCTAAAGAATGATAAAGATGAAGTTAGGATTGCATCCTGTTTTCATGTCAGTCTCGTCTTTTTAAAAACATGTACGTGGAACATACTTCACAGCAAAGTACCAATGATTGGAAATAGCTTTTAAATGAGTTGGGCATGCTTCTTTAGCTGTTTCAATTCACTAAAATGTAAAGGCAATACTAAAATAGATTCAGAAGAGGTACTATCACTGATTAATTGATGTTATAATATAGTAAAAATAGAAACCATTAAAAGAAAATAATGTTTTGATATGGTATACTTCACCAGTAACTATATATTCTTTTGTTTTGTTTTAGACAACAGGCAATAGATTATGGAGTAATCAATTCATTCTAGACCAGGCACATGCAAGGAACATGTCACATTTGTATTTGTTATTTGGAATAATTAAATATTACTCACTGTGGCACAGACAAGGCAGCTAATTTGTTTCTGATATTTATAGAAAGAAAGGATTCCATTCATTAATGGAGTTCCTCTTTTTATTAAAAAATGATAATTTTTTTCATTTGTACATTTTGTGAAATTTGGCTTCTAAGTATAGAGTAAAGTAAACTCTGTATCTCCTTCCACTAAAAATTTACACATTTTGACTGCATGTATTGCTTTTTCAAGTGAGGAAATGAAAACTCTCTTGAACCCGGAGTATCTGGAACATGATGCCTAGTAAGTACAAAAAATTGTTATTTTAATTTCTATACCATATTTATTTTAATGAAGGTTTAACAGCATTATATTTTTCTAAATTTTAGTGCGATGTTCTCACAACTTATGGAAACTGCTGAACCTTGGTTTTCTACTTTCGAGCATGATAATCAAAAGGTAAATGACATGGTCTAGATCTTTTTCGTGTATTTGAAGGAACAAATAATTTCAGTAACAACATATAATCAGAGAATAGAAGCCATTATTATTACTATAAAAAAGAAAATATAAAAATTCCTGTGGAAAAGATTGAATTGGGATCTAAACCATTTCTCTGATAGTATTGGCAGATATATACAAAGGTAGCATAAACATTTATGTATAAATATATGGAAATTTGCTTAATACATGTATATAATATCTTTGCAATATAAATTTTTTAAAATCGTAAATTTTTAACAAGTTCATTTATTTATTGATGTGTTGCTATCCTAATGAGTTGATAGATGTATTGTTAACTAAAGTGTATAGATAAACTCTGTATCAAATAGGTTGTTTTACTTATGTATCATTATTGAATTTACACATACAGCATAAAAACCATTTTCGTTACTCTGTTATCCTGTTTTTTATAACTTTTATTAGTCAACATACTGTAACATTCACTTTTTAAATGTACAATTCAGTGGATTTTGGTATATTCACAAGGTTGTACAAAAATCCTCACATCTAATTCCAAAACATTTTCATCACCCCAAAAGGAAGCCCCATACCAATAGCAGTCACTTCCCATTCCTTCTTCTCTGGAGTCTCTGCTATTACTAATCTTCTTTGTTTTCTACTGGCCTATTCTGCATATTTTGTAAAAGTGGAATTATACAATATGTGGCCTTTTGTGACTGATGCCTTTTATTTCCCATAATGTTTTCAGTGTTTGTTCACGTTGTATATACATCAGTACTCCATTCCTTTTCATGGTTGAATAATATTCATTGTGTGGCTATACCATATTTTATTTGTCCATAAATCAGCTGATGGACATTTGGGTTCATTTTACTTTTTGCTTGCTGTGAATATTGTGTACAAACTTTTGTGTCAACATATGTTTTTAGTTCTCTTGGCCTGTCTCTAAGAGTGAAATTCCTGAATTATCTGTCATTTCAAACAAACATGTATAGTAACTTAGAGGTCATTGTGGTATTTCCATTTTTATTACACAATATTTGAAAAATTGAAAACTATTCTGGCAAGGGGTGTTAAAGAGTTTTGGACATATTATTTTCTATATGATTAATTTCTTTTATCTTGGGATAATTGATTGCATTCTGGTTAAAAACCATGTATTATTCAGTCACTTCATTCCATCTCTTAAAAAATGAAGTGGATGACTAATGCTTTTTATGCTTTTGGTCTAGGTCAGGGCAAACCACTGCCTGCAAGCGAATTTGGCCTGCCATCTGTTTTTGTGCAGCTTGTGACTTAACATGCCTTTTGCATTATTAAATTGTTGAAAAAATATAAGAAGAATATTTTGTGACATATGAAAATAATATGGAATCAAATTTCTATGCTCATAAAAGAAGTTTTATTGGGATACAGCAAGCCTATTTATTTACTTACTGTCCATGGCTGCTTGCTCATTACAACAGCAGAGTTGAATAGTGGCAACACAACTGTCAAGCCTAAAATATTTCCTGTCTGGCTCTTTACAAAGAAAGTTTGCCAACCCCTAGCCTAGGTGACAAAGTCTTCCTTCAGCAACACGTGAACATGTCACCTTCTGTAAGGGTTATTAGAGCAGAAATTTACTGTCACTGTATATGATCACATGTGGTTTGAAACAATAATTTTATATTCTTGACAAGTGATTTGATGAAGTCATAGACTTGTGTGAACACCAACATCTAGCACAGAGAGTATTTGAATACATTTAAAACAGGTATCATGATTATTTTATGCAGTGGTCATTTTGTATTTTATAACTGATTCACTATATCTAAGAAACTGGATGATAAAAATGTGAGGGTTACCATTTTTCAGTTTTACTTACTTATGTTGACATCACTGAGTCAAGTTCATGAAAATAGCTAAGGTAACACAAAGAAAGGCATTCATTTTATCAGTGAACACAAAGATGCTGTGACCTCGGAACCTTTACCGTATATTAATTGCTTGCATGCATATAGCAATGAATAAAATGTTCCTTAAAAGCATGTCTAGTGAATCCCCTTTTAATCCTCCTATTTTTATTTTATTTTCTGATTCTCTCACCTTTTTAACAAAGGAGTTTGAGAAATTAATATACCACTTTCTTATTCAGTTCTAGTTCCTTTGAAAATTCAGTTACATCGCATGCTACCTATTTCAGCAGTATTTCATACTTCTCATAAGACTTTCTTCAAGAAGCACACAGTGCATTGGTTTACCTAAAGGCATAAAATCATTATCTCATTGCATCCCTGTAACAGTTTGTGGACTGACCACATTTACTGCTTAATAAAAGATTAAAAATTTTTCTAGTTTTATTGGTAGTTATTCCATTTGATCGTATTTGTTAAATGCAAATAGCATTCTTTGTTATGATAAGCAATCCTGATGATAACGAAGTATTTTCAATACAGAATTTCATTAATTATAGCTTCTCTTTTGACTTTTATTATTTAGCACTTAAGTGACCTGGAACATTATTTCTGAGTTTAGGTGTAAGAGATTTTGTTATAAGTATTCTGAGCACAGGAGAAATCTTTTCAAACTATGGTTTATATAAGCCTTAGACTACACAAGTCTCTATTAGACATTTGAAAAGTGAACCTAGATGTGCCATTGATTAATGACAACTCATTCTAGTCAAACTAGAAATTGATTATGTGATTTCATTAAGTTAAACCTTTTTAAACAGGTTAATTTAGGATCAGTTCTCCCAAAGCCAGTGATTGTATCTCTATGGACGTATGTGTATTCAAAACCGTGAGAACACTGGGTACAGTGATCTGTTTTCCACACAAGTATTAGAAACCCTGTCTGAGATCAGTGCTCCCCACCCCACACTGTATGGTGTTCAGCTGCACAGGGTTCTTCAGTAAATGAAAAACTACATGACCAAAATACATACATGTTAAATTGCTTGTTTTTAAAGGAAACTTGGCTTCAGAATAAACACTACCTTTGAATGTTAGTAGTATCTTACAATTAACACAAATCCTTTAAAAAAGTTATTTCAATTTAATCAGTAGGAAAAAATATTAATAAGAATTAAAATTTTTAATTAAGTCTTTTTAATTAAAAAATTTAACAAGAATTAAAATTTTTAATTTGAAGAGAATATTGATATTACAGAATTGGAAAAAGGTGTCTTAGATGTATATTTTTAATAATAAATGACCGCAATGTAGAGATTTCCTCTTCTCCCATTTATATAAATTAATGCAAACTAATTAAATTACAAAAATTAATGTGGACTTACATCTTTCAGACCTAAAGACCCTAGGACAGACATGTAGGAAGTACAAAAGACTGCATTTCTTTCTGTGACTTGACATGATCCTGGAAGTTAGATGGAACTCCTTCCACGAACTTTTTCCTTATCCTAACACATTTCTCCTCTCCCCTGTGCTTTCTACCAGCCTGATCAGTCACTGGTCTTACATGGAATTCTAAGTTGTTTTCTCTGTAGTCTTCCCCTCAAGACTTTGAAGGCTAGAATTTTACCTTATTTTGTGCCCCTGAATCTGGTCCAGTGATGAAAAGATGTTATTCTAGACATCTCACAGTTTGGGAGGCCAAGAAATAGTAAAAGATACTGCAGTAGTAGAAAAGAAGATAATTAAATAGGGCCTTGCACTTGAGCCACATCTTTAATTATCCTTGAGAGCTCTTCAGTGGAAACACTGGGATGGGATATTCCAGCTAAAACAAGGCATCCCAGGATCTCTGGAAGTGATAGCTGAGACTCACTAATGGATGAGTGAAAGACTTTATAGACCAGGTTAAGTAATTTTTTTTCTGAGTAAAAAATGATGGGGAGCTATTAAAATGTTTAAGGAGGGCAATTTGGAATACCTAATATCTGCTCCAGATATATCACCAGACATTTTGGAAAATGGATTTAAAAGCAGGCTAAATTAGGGGCAGTGAGACAGGCCCATTAGGAAGAAAGAAATAATTAGGGCCCCAAATCAGGTTGTTACAGTAGAGCTGTAGAGGAGGAGACATATAAGAATCCCCTGAGGAGCTAAAATTGACAAAGTAGGTGTTCTGATTGGACGACGGGTTGAGATAGGTGTGGGGAAAGGATGAACATGTGTTTGAGCAGAAGATAATAAACTTAGTTGTGGTCCTCCTGAATTAGACACCCTTTTGGCAATCTTAGAGTCCTTGCCAAGATTCGAATGTATGGTAGGCACTCGAGAGTTCTAGGTTATGAATACAGATTAGGATGTCTTTGGGAAAAGAGTTTTGGTTGAGGGACTCCATATGACTGAGATGACTCAGGGAATTGCATGTAAGTAGAGAATAAAACCAAGACCAGAACTGTATGGAAAAGCAACATTTGTTTAGTAGAAACAAGAATTTGAGGTAGAGAAGTAAACTGAGGAGGAGTGATAGGCAGACAGTCATGATAGTTCCGCTGTAAATCCCAGTTTGGGGGGAGGTGGAAATCGAGGACAGTATCAGAAGAACTTAGGTCAGGCATAATATATTGAAGGAAACCATCAGATTTGAGGAAGGAGTTGAAGTTTACATGAAAGCATTACAAGGAGTTACAAATGTGTCTGTCTTACTGTAGAGCATGAGAAATGTTGTAGTTGACCCATATAAATTTTTTTTTAATCAGCTATATTTTGATCTGGAAAGTTTTTAAATCTTTTCTACTTAGCTTTTTAAATTGATCAAAAGACAGAGACTATCTTATTTTCTAGTACTAATTTCCTTTCTTTTCTGACTTTTTTTTTTACAGTTTTGAGAACTCAAATTAAAAATATACTTTTAGTGTTTTTCATGTTTTAGTTTTATGCCACAAGAAATATGTTTTCGTCTGGACTTGAGTATTCTGTTAAGGTGCTGTGGCTGACTAGATGAACTGGCCATGGACAAATAGACTGGAGGCCACCACTACCTCTAGCCAAATTTGTCTTGTAATAAGTAATGTCACGAGAGAAACTGGCCAGGGAAATATAGGTAGAAAATATTTTAGAAGGAATTTTCTGGCCTTTCTAAGCGCAGTCGTCCATGTGACAGTCAGTGTGTGTTTCCACATTGTAAGCATTTGCAATAAGATGATTTAAGTTCTTATTTAAACTCCCACTGATAAATGTATTCAGGAATAGTGTCCATATATTTGTTCATTTTATACTGAAATATAATACATGTTCCATTTTTCCTATTTTTAGGGGAAAGAAACATTGATGGCTCCCATCCCCTTTGCTAGACCCCAGGACTTAGGGCCAACAGTTGCTGTTGTTACCAAAGTCAACCAGATCCAAGATCATCTACTGAAGAAGCATGATATTGAGCTTTACATGCACTTGAACAGACTAGAAATTGCACCACAGATATATGGGTTGTAAGTATTGAAGTATAAACGTCACCTCTACCTAATTATGAGTTACGATGATTTTTGTATGTCCCAGATCCACAGGTGTAAGAGCAAGAACTGTTTGGCTTCACTTCATGTCTCTTTTCTGGCCTATGTGCCAGGCTCTCTGCACTCACGGCTTTCACATATGATCTCTAATCTAATACTCCCACTAAGCCCATTCACTGAGTGTTACCCATTTGTTACAGAGGAAGAAACTAAGGCTTACACATATTAAAGACTGAAGTCATAATTCAGGTCCAAGCAGGATTAGCTCCATAATCTGCAGAGCCAGTGCAAAATAGAAATGGATAGCCTCTTTAAAAAATCAAAATAAGAGTTTCAAGATGGCAACAGCAGATAACTAAACCAAGCAGTCTACAATGTACAAGGCAGCATAGGTTGTACATACATGGAGCCAGCCCCAAACCCAAACAGTCCTGTAAGATACCCATGTTCTTTTCACTTTATTGTATAGTCTTCTGCTCTACCTCAGAAGTGCATTTTGAAAAGTTAGCTCAGTGTCCCTCACAGGGAACATAATATATTAATCTTCAGCAACATAACCTCTGTAACGTGCTATGGCAGACAAATGAGGCAGTCACTCCTGAGATGTCTTTGTATGTGTCTTCATTTGGTGGCTTGTAAGATGAGGAGGCAAATTACAAGATAACAGTTTTAATAAATATGAATTTGTTGTATCCTACTACGGACAACAAAGGATCCTTTATATTGAAACAAGAGGGCATTCATATTTGCTGGGCAGTTCCTTGGTAGATATTTTCTCCAAATTCCTTCCTCAATTAGGCAGAAGATGGAAAATTGAAAAGATAACATTGAGATGTGCATAGTAAATGCTCAGTAAATATGACTTCATTATTCAAATTATGGAGAATCTCATACAAACCGAAGGGTTAGGACCAATTCATTTAGTCCAAAGTGAAGAATATCAGTGAGTGTTTATGTTCTCATGTTTCACAGAGTCATTCACTAATAATAATTCACCTTTCTTTTCTGGAAGTTCTAAACTATAATTGAAGACATCTGCTTTCCTCTTTCTAATGATGCTTGTTTTCGTTTCTGTGACTTAAGCTTGACTTCAATATTTGGGAGCAGCTCCATCATTCCCACTGGAAATAAGAAAATTATAGGTAATGTGGGAATTGGGCAGCACTGTAGGTTATTAATGAATTGTGATTTACTACACTTATTGGTCTAGCTAATATGTTTCTGTTTACAGACATAAAAGTTATTTTAAAATAGGTAGTGGCAAGGCTAGAAGTTGAATTCTGTTTTTCTCTACTGTGCATTCAAAAAAATTGGTTTATTTAAATACGAAACTGGTTTATTTAAATACAAAAATAATAATTTTATACCCTCAAAATTATTTTCTGAAGTCTAGAAATTGGTCTTAAATTTGGGGGAAAGAAATTAATGTTGAACATATTTATCATTTCTTTGAAATGCTTTGTTCTTCATAACTTTTTTGTCTGAGCTGGTGCTTTATACTGCAATGGTGTTGGAATAGACTCGAGTACAATGGTTTATTACCATAGTGTTCCTTTCCGTCAGCTTTCTCTCCACCATAGTGATTCATGGAGCTTCTTTGACTACAGACCAGCACCTTACCAGTAGAAACCCCATGATCCATGATACAATTACTCTCAATCCTTTCCACTCTGGTTTTTAGCAGTACTAACAGTACCAAGGCTTTCAGTAACCATAGCTGACTTATTTATCCCTTTTTTTTTCTTGTATAACATCTCATCTGTGTTATCTAAAAATACATATATTTTTAATCTTTGAAGAAGTTACTCATTCTCTTAATTGCCCTGTACTACATTTTATAAGTGCCAATGGTTTTATATACTTACTTCACTTTTTAAATTTGGTTTTATTATTTCTACTAGCGAGGCACATGAAAGGCCAATGTGATTTTGTTTTCCTATTTCTTTATGCTAACTTAAGCACTACTGCTCGTCCGTATATTTCCTATTGAGCACTGTTCTAATCCTTGGGAACAAAGAGTAACATTAGTATAATAAGAATAGCAGTTAGAGGCACAGAGTTTGAAATAAAACAGGCTTGTTTGCCCACTTTGAGCCTTGTTTTCTTCATCTGTGAAATGGAGATTTAAAGTAATGCTATCTACTTCCTAGGGTGCCTGTGAGAATGAAATTTTAATGTACAAAAATCATAGTGCTGAGTATGTAGTAAACATTATATATATATGTTTCACATGCTTTTCTTATCTTGATCTGTCATTACCATTACTTAATTAGGCCTATATCATGGCTCTGTGAATGCGATGAACTGTGTGATTCATGAACTACTTCCAGCTCTGGCTTTGGCTTTCTATATTTTCTTCATTAAAGTATATGGGCCATTTACAAATGGAAATATAATAGCCATCCTTTTAGACTAGTGCTTCCAAAGAGATAGTGTAGAAGTTGAGAGTAAACTTTTAGAAACAAAATCATAGCAATTTGGCACAATAATTTCATGTCCACAAACCTAATTAATATTGTATCTCATTGAAATGAATTCAGATATTTTGTTTTATTCCTTATCTAAATAATTACTGATACTACTCTCTTCCTTTTGGAAGAAAGTTGGTAATTTAGGCTTATATTCAATATTAATACTTAAAAATAATTATTAGAGTTTGAATTATGTAGACAAATATAAAATAATCAGTTTTCAGTTAATAAAACCTACTCTTCCTCAAGGTGATATCAGAATCCATAATTGTATCATCTAAAATATGATTTTATTTTTGCCCTGGCTGGGTAGTTCAGTTGGTTTGAGCATCATCCTGATATGCCAGGGTTGTGGGTTTGATCCCTGGTCAGGACACATACAAGAATCAACCAATGAATGCATAAATGAGTGGAATGACAGATCAATCTCTCTCTCCCAAATCAATAAATAAAAATTTAAATAACTACATAAATAAAATGTGCTTTTGCATGCCAACTGTTTATAGAATTTTAATTTTCAAAAAAATATTTCCTTATATACTAAAATATTCTGACAAAATTGATAACAATGTGATAAAAATGTCAATAATGAATGCACCAATGGAAAAATATCAATATCAATGATTTGTTTAGAAAGGGTACGAAATCATAAATATATGTTCACATGGTAGGAAATGTATTAGCAAAATGAAATTTGTACTGAGTCCAGGTTTCTAATTTTAATCAATCTTAAGCAGTTCCATGTGGTACATTAAAACTTACTGAAATCTGCTTTCTAATACGATTATAACTATCATTTATGAAAAGGTTTTGCAATTTAGTCCACTTTCAGAAGTAGTTTTGTTCTGGTTTTTGTAAGAGAATAGATTGGGAGAGTCTTGATGCGGCAGATGTGCCACAGTAAACTTATTTGTTGCATTTGGCAATAAAGTCAACAAAATTAGAATTAATAATTAGCTAAAAATGTTCATTGTACTAGCATTGGCTAAAGTTATTCCAAATTAGCTTACCTTAATTTTAAAGAAATTGATGATACTTACCTTGAAACATGGCAATAAGTACCTATGATCTTGAATGTTATGCAATAACTTGCTTATTAATGTTGTTATTTTATGTGTATAAGTGCTTCATTCCCTGGATAATAGGGGCTGATTTTTCTGTTAAGAATGTTAAATCAACTTACTATTTAGGTTACACAAAGTTATTTTGAAGTTAAGTATTCAATACTTTATAAGCAAGATTATAAAAATAATATTTTCTAAAAATAATTTACACTGTTTTTCATTAGCCTTGTGAAAGATTATTCCTGTTTCACTTAGAATGAAGTTTCTTTTGCCATAATTCAAATAATTAACTTCTTCAGTTGTCTTTTGTTTGCCTATTTAGATGTATATCATACTTTTTTAAAAAATATGTTCTGTAGGGGCCTGTCACTGCACACTGCATATTTCCAAAGTAAAGCATTGGCAGCATTATTTCCAACTTTCCTAGGTAATTTCTGAGAGTTAGTGTTGTTGTTTTCTTTTTTTTTTTATCTTTCTTTTACTGTGAGAATAAGTAGCACCTTGGGGTTATTTTTGTAAAAAACTTCTGAAATATTAGTGTCACATTTCTGTCCCTGAGTACATACTTGTGAGTCCAGAAGAGCCTCAATCATAGCAGATTCAATATAAAGCTTCAATACTGTTTTTACTTAATACTATTTCCAAAGAGACCAAAAACTGAAGTTTAAAAGTAACAATTTTTGCTAGGCCAGAGTAACTGTGTTTTATTATTACCTTAAATATATTGAATCTATATATTTTCAACCACATTTTATAGTTTGGTATAAATAGACTACATAATAAGCATCTGTGGGATATGCAGTTAATGTCACTTTTGAGGAAAGACCCTCATAACACACTTGGGCTTTGACATTCTTAAATTATGAGCTCTTTAAAACACTCATGGGATAAATTTCATATCTCCCAAATGTTTTTATACATCTTCTGTTTCCCTGATTTTCTATTTTCTGGATTACCAGTTCTTTCATTGTGGTGCTTTATAATAATTTAATTAGGGAAGTTTTTGGTCATTAAGTAATTTGCTTAATTTTGTGATATAATTTTAAAATATTTGTTCTAACACATATCATAATGTTATTATGTATGACTACTAAGTTTTTTTATACTATATTTGAATTGTAAACATACGGTAAAAGATGTAACTCTCAGTCATGGAAGTCATTATAATTATATCCCTAAGAAATTCTCTCAACAACTTAAGCAAAAAGCTTCCTATTCTAAGCACAGGTAGTGGTTAAAATATTCTTTTCTTTTCAATGGGCTTTATCTTATACATTAAATGTAAAAACCAGAATGAGGGGTTAGAAGGTGGAGATCCAATGATACTTTGTTGCTGTATACCACTGGGTATTCCTCCAGAATTATTCCTTTTGAAAAAGCTTACTATTTACCTTTCTATATGAAGAATTATCATGATTATAAGAAGTATGGGGAAGAATGATAA